GATAGTCTCTCATTTTGTCTTTTTCAATGTCTTTGCAACACTTTATGTTACTAATATTCCTATGGATCATTTCAAGCCTCTTTTCTCTTTGTCAGTTGTTCCCTCACAGGTACCCATGTTTTTGTCGTTAGCATAAAATGTGACCTTTTCAGATACTGAGTGATACATTTCAATGGTTCTAAAATTTAAAAACTGTGATACACCAAAAAGTCACTTCCACCCCAGTTCTTACTTACATTTCACAACCGCCCTTACAATACCACTTTTATCATTTCTTCTTTCTAATGTCTTTTTCTTCTTTGTAGTGACCTTTGAAATTTTGCGATATATATATATATATATATATGATAAAGACTAAAATGAATCATTATTTCACTCTTCCAGCCAAACAAAAACAGAAATTTAAGCCAATAACTCCAAGCACGTACAAGTAAAGAGAACTTTGACCTATCCAGAACGAAAGGATCAGACACACACACACACACACACACACGCCAATACATACACCCAAAGGACCAGGACATAACCAAAACTTGAACACCAGAACCCTTTCTTCAGAAGCCCTGTTGTCCAGGAAAATCTGGTGTTGATGCCCCTTAACATAAATGGCCAAGTTCCAGGGTCCTCCAATTAAAACTTCCCCACCAGCACTTGTGCATATGTGTTCCCACTCAACCCTTAAAAACCTTCATCCTAACCCAGTGTGGCTCAGGGGTTGAGTGCAGTCCTATGAACCATGTCACGGTTCAATTCCCAGTCAGGGCACATGCCTAGGGTTGCAGGCTTAATCCCCAGTAGGGGGCATGCAGGAGGAAGTCAATCAATGGTTCTCATCATTGATGTTTCTCTCTCTCTCATCATTGATGTTTCTCTCTCTCTCTCCTTCTCCCTTCCTCTCTGAAATCAATAAAAATATAAAGAAAAGAAACCCTCAACGAATTCAACAAGCAAGATGGATTTGAGAGGCACAATTAGTCTCCCATCTTGTTTGGTGCCTTCTCAGGCAAGAAACTTTTCCTTACCCCCAAAAATAAAATAAAATAAACCACTAACTCCAATCAGACACTATTTTATATGGCTGTCTGCTGGGGATGTTTGTCTATTTTGAAACTATTCCTTAGTGACTTGTTTTCCCTACATTATCTCAAAAAACTCCATCAGAAAAGGCGATCTAGTGAAAACTGTTTATCCCCACATTGTCTGCATTTCACACATTCTTCAGAGGCAGTTTGCTGAGCACACAATTCTAGTTATTTTTCTCTTAGCACATTTGTATTATTTTCACTCAGGTGAAGCTATTGAAGACTGAGCTTCTCAGTTCTAGTTCCAAAAATTTCAGGGGAGATCTTGAAGGCCCAGTTTGGATTGGACAGAACATAAAATAACCACTCATTCAGAACCTGTGAAGATGAAGGGCAGACGTGGCACCCAGAATGTGAGAGGAAGTGTTTGTGTCATAGTGGTGACAAAATGCCCAGCAGTCAGAAGTAAACAAATTTAGCTAAGGTAACGGAAACCCAATGTTTCTAAATAGTGATTAAAATTTCCTAACACATCCCATTACCATTTTCTTTAGGGAAAACTCCTTCTCATACATTCTAGGTTGTGCTCGAATCATCCTTTGGGTAACTAAGGAACACCCGAGGTCAAAGCTGTACGCTCTGGTAACAGCATTTTCTGTCCCACACCTAAATTGTGGAATAAACAGCCCTGCCTTCGGGCAAGAACTGCCTGGTCTCCTTCCAAGTCAGACCTCAAGGCCATGCTCTTCCTCCACCGCACTGTGACCATGTCTTCTACCTGCACGGCTCCTGGTGACCCCTCAGTCTGTCCCAAGTCAGTGAGCGCACGACGTGGAACAAACCACTCTCCCCAAAGCTGCTTGCAGGACTCAGGGTCCGTCCCTCCCCGCACCTCACCTGGTGTCCTCCCTTGGTTCTGTGTGCGACTTCCCTTGCTCCTTGGTCACCCTTCAGTTCCTGACCCCCTCACCAACCTTTAGGCTCAAGATTAAACCTCAGCTCTTTGGAGATATCTGGACCAAACTATCTAAAGCAGCTCCCTTTGTTGCTCTCTACCCAAGCCCACAAATCACAAATGGACATCACTTGTCAATCACACAGACTTTTAAGATCCAAAGATATGCTTAGTCTTTTGTTTTTTACCAAAAGCTACTTAAATATATTTCATTAGAATTAATTTTAAATTACACAACACTTTTATCTGACTTCTGATTTCATTTGTAACTTTTTCCCTCCATGATATGGACTATATATGTTGTACATAATAACTGAGGTGTTCTCAATTTTTGGAATAATTTAATTTCTAATTTATTAAGAGAAAACAAAACTTATAAATAGTAGAGGAGACACACATCTTGGTGGCATTTTGATGACATCATAGTAATACAAGTCTTGCCTTCTTGATTCTTTATACTAATATGTGAAGTTTTAAATGTAACTGAAGATGTAATTTCACCAATAATCATGTTTTTGAAGAGTAACATAGAGGGTTAAGCAAGCAGTGGAGAGTTTCTGAATGTACACTCAATGCCTGTGCAACGAGCCTTCACACCTGAAAAAGGGGCCGCTGGCAGGCAAGACACACCAGGGAGTGTGTTAACACCTCCTGAGGTTCCTGTGGCCAGCACAAGGCTTCACTCACGTGGGTCAGAACAGAAGGGAGGACCGGCAGCCACCACAGATCCTGACTTGCACTCTCCTGCAGAAAATGCGGTCGACTTTCTAAAACTGCAATTTTTAAAACTTTCGAACAAGCTTACCTGTCTGTCACAAGAACCAGACAAGCATCTTATGAGACGCTGAGGAACTTTGAGAAATACCTGTATTAGGTCCAATTGTTAATGCCCTTCAGAAAAATTTGAGATGGAAATAAAGGAATGGAAAAGCATAATTATATATCGCTTAATATTAGCCTCTAACAAACAGATAGAAAATATAACACAATTGCTCTTTTAAGTCTAGAATTTATATTTTCAAATGTGCAATCCTATAATTAGAAATTTGTTCAATTTCTACATCGTTGTGATATCCAGTAGCTATTAACAAAATTGCACCAAAATAAAACATAAAAAAGGTAAAATAATAAAAAGAGACTCCTAATAACAAAACTTTTACAATAGTAATTATGGAACATGGATTTTTAATGAATTTCATTTTGCAATGAAGACACTGAACACTTAAAAACAATTACATCAATACAATAAAAACACTTGCTTCTACACAACACTTACAAATGTGTACTTTCTCCAAAGAAACTTGTTTTTCACAGATTTAAGCAACAAATAATTTTACAAAGGATTCTTCAGATGGCAAAATATGTACAGAATCTTTGACTCTACAGAAACCAGTGTGCAGTGGTTGAAAAGGAGTGTTGCTTTGTCCAATGCATCTTGTACAAAATTCTCTATCAATGCATATTTTTCAGTAACCACATTCTCTTTGCATTATTAAATGAAATTCTGGACATCATATAGGAGAAAACAATTCCCATTTCAAAACACTATTTCAGATGAGATCACTTGTGGCTGATGACATGACAATTTCAGCCACACAAACATTCATACACTCACACATATTCAAGGATACACATGCACACACTATCACTAATCTCCTTCATGACTCCTGAAATCACCAGCACTATGACCAGAGCAGCTGGAGGGATGCCCTCAGAGGACACACAGCAGGTAGCAGAAGTGTGTCCTGCTCCTGGGAACAGCCCCAGCTCCCTGAGGCCTTTTGCACTCAAGGAGACAAGGGAGGCTGGCCCCTCCACTTAGCAACGTGAGCAGCTGTTGGCCATGAAGGGCATTGGTCTGCACAGAATTAAATGGCCATCACAACATATATTTTAAAACTTCAAAAATTTTTAAATCTTTTTATTGATTTTTTCAGAGAGCGAGGAAGGGAGAGAGATAGAGAGATGGAAACATCAATGAGAAACATTGCTCGGCTACCTCCTGCACCCACCCCCTTACTGGGGATCGAGCCAGCAACCAAGGGCATATGCCCTGACCAGGAATTGAACCAGGGACTTCTTGTTTCATGGGTTGACACCAGGCAAGCTAAAAGTTTCAAATTTTTTAATCTGGAAGAGATCTGGTTCTTAAGTTTGATTTACCTATTTGTATACATTTTTCAATGTTCCTAATGGTGATTCTAAGACAGCCAGACATTCAAATTAAAACACAAGAGGAACCCAAGAGTGTGGTTACGCAACTTATCATTAAGAACTAACTGTGCTCATGTCTTTGGAGTTGAGGTGCGGTAGAGAAGGTGTGACCATCAGCCAACTCAGCACGAGACCACTCAGGAGAGCAGTGCCTGAGCCTGGTGCTCAAACAGTGTGCTTAGGGCAAATGTCACACTTTAAAAATACAACCAATTCTTTAGCTTTAAAAATAAAGTCGCTCTAAAGCATTGCTTGTCTGTCCTTTGTTAGCAACCTCAACTCTACTAGTATTACTGGCTTTTCCTGGTCTCTCTCCCTCCCAGGCTCTGTAAATCATTTCAGAATCACCAATGACTCAGGACTGAAGTTTCAAAAATTAGCTACTGTAGGACTGAGCCCAGGCGCTCCACCCCAGGGCAGCCTGCAGCAAACGGTGCCCAGCTGTGTCACTACAAAATAGGAGACACAGGAATGGGTCGTTTTCAACATTACCCTCTTGTATCTCTCCAAGGGGCCAGTTTCCGACATATTCGAAGGATTAAAAATATGAGGAGCAGTACACTGAGATGTCTTCTTTATCAAAACTGTAACTCAACAACAACACGAACTCACAAACATCAAACACAGTAACTGCTAAGAAGGCAAGGGTGACAGGCCCACTCCAGCAGTGGGAGGGTTGGCACTGAGAGGTGTCCTGGCGGCTGAGACAGGAGCATCTTGTCACCTGTGAACTATGGCTGCGGCTGCCACCCTGGTAGCTAGCTAATGCAAATGCCTTTCCATTACATTTGCTGATTGTCTTTCTTGCCTTCTGAACTGAACTCAGTATTCCAGCTAAAAGCCAAAGTGCTTAGTTAGCTAGGCACAGTAAGACTCCCAAGTTTTCCAAACATTTATTTTTGAGGTAGTACTCATTTATTTGCATTGTTGACTCTCAAATACCACCAGAGAAGTGAACCCATGTAGAAATATGAAAACCAAAGGTGTAGAAAATAAATAAGGTTTTGTCTTCAGGTAGCACAGCCTTCTTAAAAAGGTCAAGTCACATTCAATGGATAAGTTATTTGAAACTTCTAAAAATTGTTTATAACCAGAGCTATAAACTAAAGTGCTTTAAATTTTGCTTACAATCTGAAATTGGTGATTAGAATCATCATATTTTAGAATTTGCTAATATGAGACCTCAGGGTATTGAAATGATTTTCTATAAAAAGAACAAACTTTTTCTTAAAAAAAAAAATGAATCCTGCAAACTCAACATTTGATGCTATTTTTTAACTTCTAAGATCCAGGTTAATTTCACAGAACTGTAAGAGGATGAAGAGCTGAAGCTGAATTACAACAACAGCACGTGCTACAACTTCACATGGAAGTAAACATAAAATTTTTTGCCAATCCCGCCATTCATCAGCCAACGCAAACACAGCTCTGCAGTCTCCCAGGACAAGGTAGATATGTAGGATTATTCCAGAAATGCCACAGACTTACACTCACAGTAAGTACACAGGTTCACATTGAACTCACACAAGTGTGATGCCCTCCTGTCATATGTCAAATGCCACGTGCTATAGGGAGCGGCTTTGTTCCCACTGACCAGAGGATGCCAGCACAGACAAGACGGAATAAAAACATAACCACAGTTCTGTACATCATGCAAGCTGGGTACAATGGGAAAAGGACATATACAAATCACCCTTCTCAGGGTCCAGCTCTCACAAAAATGGCTGATCAGTATGAGAAAAGCCTGCTCCAGTCACAGGTCCATGGCAAACTATGAAACTAAGGAATGCCGGCACCTTATTTTTCCTGTAACAACGCAGGGATGTTGATGTTCCAGCCTATGGCTTGCCTGTCAAACCCGCAGGTGAACAGATTGCAGGTGGGGTGGTCCTCGCTCCACGCCGAGCAGCACACCATTCTTCTGTGGCCCTATTACCAAGCACACAAACCAGGATTAGTATATTATTCCTCAAACATAAGGGCTATAAAACCTCAACCAAATTAACAACTACACCACTCAAAGCAACCAAATTGAGAGAGAAAAAATTAACACTCAGGATTAATCAGAGTGAGACAAAAATACTGAGTTGGCAGCAGGTTCTCAGGCACGAGCTGGTGGAAAGGCCGTGATGAATGAATGAGGTCAGACACAACATGAATCTAGTGAGACACAACAAAAGCACTCATGATTCTTTAAGAAAATGAGTAAGATTACAGTCCAAAAGAAAAAATAATCAATTTTTAAAATTTTAATGAATGAGTCTAGGTAAATTTGGGAATAAACTCAATAAAATTCACCCAAAGACCTCAAATATCATTTTAACAAATAATTGGTTCAGATGTTCAAGCAGTTAAAAAACACATTCGGTGTCAAATGAAAAAAAGGAAAAATGAATGGCCTTTCAAGTAGATTCCTGATAGCTTTAGAAATTCCGGTTTAATACCACAATGCTGGGAAAAATTACTGCAAAACGTACAAAGTTTACAGTGTGATGTTTGGTATATACAGGCAGAGATGCAAGCAATGCCTTAGGACACAGTCATTGTTACAGTAATACTTGGCTGGTGCTATATCATACAATAAAGTACAAGAAGGATTAGAAACAGCTAACAGAAATTTAGTAAAAGAAACCCTCAAAAGAATGGCACAACAGCTCCCTCTGGAAAACATTCGCATTTGAATGCTGCTGGTTTTAGAGAGAATCAGGCCACAAAGGGAAAGCACTGCAAGAAAGGAGCCCCAGAATGAAGGGTTAAGGGCGCTCTCCTACATCTCTTTGTTAGGGACTTGAGAAGAGAGAATGCATAAGCATCCACTAGCTGGCAGTAAAAATCAAGCCTCTAGAAAGACTAGTTCAAGATGGTAAACTCAAGACACTCACTGGACCAACACTGAGATCGCATCCTACTACCTAGTGAGGGAAAGGACCAGGCGGCACCTGCAAATGTGGGTCCAATCCAGGATCTCAGTCCTGCCTGAGCTGGGAGCCCGCACTAGGTGAGTCACCCTTTCATCTCATGTACATCCCCCGCCAGAGTGCACACAGACATGACCCAAAAAAGGCTCAGGGCACATGCAGACTTTGAAACCACTCTGTGCCCTCCTAGTCACAGAGCCACACTAAAACTTCTCCGCTCCTGCAGCACAGATCCTGTGCGCCGTCTGTAGATCACCTTTCACTGCACACTGCACCACCCCCTCCCTGAGCTCCTGATCACAGTCCACACTTTGGGAAATGGCACTTACACTTTCCCCAAAGTAAAACAATTCCATATCCTAAGCCCCTGCCCCTCTAGTGACCAAGTTGAACTGAGTTTCGTTGTCTCCTTATAAAGCTGTCAGCTGAAAGAAGCTGGGACAACATGAAACGGGGATTTCTAGCTGTGGTTCTGTGAGACTGAAAAGTATACTGATTCATCTGAAATGTTACAGGTTCAGAATGAAATGAAATGATATTCATTAACCTTAAAGATAAGTATTTTCACAAACTACTTTAGGAGGAAATAAAGCCAAGCACAGCGGAATTCTACAATTCCAACAGGGTTGAATGTTAACAGATAATTAAAAATAAAGTTGTGCCCACAGAATTAGCCCCACCAACAACTGCTGAAATCTCCCTATTTTTTGAGAGGAAACATTCTCAAAGTAATGAAGTCATACACACTCATACATTTGTTTGAAAATGCTGGCTTTCCATGTTGCACAGCAATTTATGTACTACACAGGCACAGCTATAAAAAAATAAAATAAAAGAGTAAAGAGAGAGAGCCCTTCTATGTGAGAGAGACGTTTAGGATACATCAGTGATGCTCAGCAGTTACCAAAACACAAAAATCCCAGACAAGCAACTCTAGCTCTGTGTAGTTACTCTAATTTCATGAGTAGTTTTTCTGTGACCTGCACTCATAATTAAGAAGCTCAGTCACTAACTTCAAACAGCACACGTAAGGAGCTACACAGAGAAGAACCAACCGTGTCTTGAATACACAGGGCTTTTGGAAACTTGGTGCCATTGCATTTGCTGCTCTGTTGGTAGCAAATGCCACTTGACCACCTACCTCCGGAATCGCCTGGGTCTGCGGTTCCTGAGCCCTACCTCCCACAGGGACAGCCTGCAGCTCATGCCTGCACTTGAAGGCTCTGCCTTGAAGGGGACAGGAGCAGCCACCGAGTTGCAGCCATGGTAGGAGAGCAAGGTATCACAGTGACAGACAGAAAAGGCCGAAAGAAGCAAAGGAGAGTGTGACTGTGGTGGGGCTCGGCTAGGCACAAAGGCTGCAGAGAGGCTGCCTTCATAAGTGGGAAGGGAAGGGGAGGACATTTCCCCACAAAAGGAGCCAGTATGTCACTCACTCTGGGACTCACCCTCAAATGTGGAACCACCCAGGGAACGAATCTAAACACAGGTTCCCAGGCTTCCCTCAGAGACTGAGTCAGCAGGTCTGAGCTGGTACCGCAGCCCAGGTAGCTGTGACAGGTGGGGCAAACACCTCAGTATACACTGACCCAACACCGCTGCACGGCACCATCTGGGCCAAATGCAAGTCCTAGCACCCAGGAAAGTCTCTTCTACAATGGAGTTTGTCTTGGCAACCTACCATGGAAAGGGGTTCCTGGCTAGGGGTGGAGGGTCCTTTCTTAAGAAGCTCCCACAATCCACGACACCGCTCCTGCGTGGCCACGCATTGTCCTTTAATATATTTCCAATTTGCACAAGTTCAACTGAAAATATCTAAAACTGTGCTTTCCAGTACGGCGGCCACTAACCCACGCAAAACTGAGCTCCTGAGACGTGGCTACTGACACTGAGGAACTAAACATTGGATTTCATTCAGATTAAACTTAAAAACTAATATTCAGTTCAGGTACTGGGAAACATTTTAACATTTTCAATGATAAATTTTAGGAACTCTAAATACAGATCAAATATATCCAATATATAGTAAGAAAGTAAGAGTGTAAATTTGCTAACATTTTTATATTGATGGCATGTTCAAATGTTATTATTTTGGGTTTATCTAGTTAAGTATACTGTTAAAATAACTTCTCGCTTTTTTAAAAGTGGCTATTAGGAAACTAAAATCACACGTGTGGCTCCCAGTGTGCGTCCAGGAGTCACTGATGACGGAGAAGACCTGAGATTCTGTGAATATGCATCAGCAGCACAGTTACCTGCCGGCTGCTGCGGGGGAGTCGCGCCAGCCGCACACCGGACATATCGAACAATCTGACTTGTCTGTTGTCATGGGGGAGGGCGATGATTTTTTGGCCAACGCATACATTGATCCTGCAAAGAGACAAGAAGGTTCCATATAAAACAGTGACAGCACCAGGGTAGGGTATTCCATACTATGCACACTTCATGGCAAACACAACAGTGAGTATTATGTGTCTGCAGCTTTAGGTTACAGAGACCAAGCTGCTTATATGCAACTCAAACGTACAGCATGTCACTAAAACAGAGGGGCCATAACAGGCTCATTCTTATTCTCAAAGCCCATTACACCAACCTGATTCTATACTTAAGTTTCAGTGTTTACAGATACTGAATTTGCATTAGAGGATCAATGACAAACATTTTCCCAGGAGTCTAAACCACTTTCCCAAGGTTCATTTAACTGTCACATGTACAAGACATTGTACTACAATCAACCCTATCAAGTCAAATAAACATCTAAGCAATGAGCAGCTTCCCTCACCTGTTGATGGCAGAATCCGTACGAATGGTTGCAATGGGGGATCTCATGTTCTTTAAATCCCAGACCTTCACAGTGCGGTCGTCACTGCCTGAAACAACGTTATCTCCCACGGTGAACACGGCAGAGGTCACGGTGCTACAAGTAAAGGGCACAGGGTCAGAACTCATCTAGTGTTTGGCATGGTGACAATAGTTAATACCATAACATGTACTTGAAATTTGCTGGGGGAATGGATCTGAAATGACCTCACCACACATGGGAGATAGATGTGCTAATTAACTTGACTGTGATCATTTCAGTGGAAACGTATATAGAACATCACATTGTATATCTTAAATATACTCAATTTTTACTTGTCAATTATACCTCAATAAGAAGGAAAAAACTTTAAAGATAACAAGGGAGGGTCAAGAAAACAATCTCACCATTCCAGACAACTCTGGCCCTAAATAACAGCCTCGCAGAATATTGAAGAGCCATATTTTTTCAGAGACAAAAAAATTAACTACGAATAAATAATATCTTATATATACAACCTTATCATTTCTCACAATAATTTCAAACTACTTTTATTTCTCTTAGAGCTTAAAACAAGAGATAAACTCGAATTCAGAAAACCCAGGTGCTACCCAGACCTTAGACCTAAAACTGCACCACCAGCGTCAAATCCATACTGAGTCCGTCAGGTGGGTTTCAACCCGGTACTGTCAACGTTCAGGTGACCACTGCTCATGGGGTGCCCTGTGCACCTGGGCTGAGCAGCCTCTACCTCTGCCCACCCGACACCAGTCACATCCCCTCCCTAGGTGCTAAATCGCCCAACATCAGCCACTGTGCTACACCTAAGGTCACTGTGTGTGACACTGGCAGAAAGGGGGACAGGGGAACCTGGAGCACCGGCCCAGTGACCCGGCCCAGTGACCCGTTGGAACTCCCTATTTAAAAAACAATGCCAGAGCTTGACTAGAATAAAGTGCTGCTCCTCTTCCATGCAGAGGTCACAGCAAGGTGTAAAGAAACTGCTGGCAGAGCTCTGGGAACAGCTCACGACTAGGGGCTGTTCTGAAGATTCTAGTCTTTAGGAGGTCTGGGCCAAGTTAAACTTCAGTTAACATTCTGCTAAATTAATGGGAAAAGTCTCCACAAAAGACCATCGAACCCTATGTAAATGAAACGCTGAAAGACATTAGGTTTTTAATAAATCACAGCCCTGACAGGTATTGTGGGCCATCAAAGGGAAAAGCTGGCACAGAGACAGCACCCTCAACTCAGGTCCCGTGGGGAGCAGGCCACCACAGCCGCACACTGGAAAAGCTCAGACTCTGCCAGACTCCAGTAGACTCATTTATCTTGTCGCCGCGAGCAGCCGACCATGTGCTTCCAGCTGACAGTGCGGTACCTCCTCACCGCACACCACTGCCCGATCTGGAACATTCCGCTCCCTCTGAGGGTCTCAATCAACGGAAAGACTGTAATGCTAGCACTCCTCATTAGGACTAACAGCTGTCTTCCCAGTCACACAGAGACACAAAACTGTTTTGCATAACAATCTGCTGGAATTTCATGGCTAAGGAAAAAAATATATGATGTGGAAAATGCTGGCCCGTGAAATGCTGAAGCAGGGTGCTTTCCAGGCTCCGAGTCAGGGCCTGACTGCAGAGCACCCATTTCTTACTGTAAGGTGTATTCCCTACAAAACAGAGTCATCCTTCTGCATCTGAGGAACAAACTAGAGCAGCGGTGGACCACTAGTGGTCCGTGAGGTCCAAAAGGTTGGCGACCACTGGACTAGAGAGCAGGCACTCGATCCAGGAACAGAAAGGGCAGGGCACCCTTCCCTGGAACAAAGGCTGCATCTCCCCAGTCCACAGAGCCATCTGTGAAAAGCATATCAAGCAGCAACCAGTGTGGCCTTCTCAATGGCCGTCCACCTGTTCAGGTGCGCTGCAGTGTTCACGTGAACGTGCAGGTCCAACACTTGTGTGTCCAGCAGAGGCTGATGTGACAAATGGACCCCAGCACTTTTCCACCAGCCAAGGTAGAGCTCACACGCCTACACTGGAAACCTGAACACGCCACCTGACCCTGTCGTGGCCTGTGTACAAAGCCAGCACATCACCACATTCCTTTCCAGGTCATCACCACTTCACAAGCTGTTTTAGAAATTAAGCATCTAACAGATGGCACCTTCCAGGAGACATGGCAGGATCCTGGAGAGTATGCCCTGACCAGGGCCTTTCCTACTGTGGCTTGGCAGAGTTTAAGGAGCTCATGTCAGCCTGTCCTGTACAACCCCAGATACCTCAAAGAGAAACAGGAAACTTCTTCAAATAAACACACTTCTGAATATTCCTTGATGGCTAAGTCCCCAAAAAACAGACCCGAAGATAAAAAAACATTCAAAGGAAGAGTCAAATTGTATCACACGTGATTCTTTTTCAGGACTGAAAATTCCACTCTTGAAAAATGATGTTCAGGTACCTACCACACCAGCCACTAAATATTCTCACTTGGTTGCTCTCCTCTCTACACCTCCCTCTTCAGGACAACCGGGAGATTTCCTTTCTAATTACTGAAAGAACTGTCCATCCGAGGAGGATTCAGAGCACTACGGTGTGCCAGGCCTGCTTTCTGTGAGAGAAACCCCAACAGAGAGGGGTGAAACCACTCCTGGTGATGCTGACACTCTAGTGGAGAAGATGGCAGTGGTCCTGGCTTTAAAGAAACTCGCTGCAGTTTTAGGGCCTGTAGTCTAATTCTAGTGGCTGAAATGTGCTGCTGATTAAAAAAACAAAAACCCTGCAATGACCAGCTTTACTACCGACCAGAGAGAAGGGCTCTAAAAGTAGCTTTAAGAGTGTGTCAAGTCCTAGCTGGTTTGGCTCAGTGAATAAAGCGTCGGCCTGTGGACTGAAGGGTCCTGGGTTCGATGCCGGTCAAGGGCACATGCCTGGGTTGCGGGTTCAAACCCCAATAGGGGGCGTGCAGGAGGCAGCCGATCCATGATTCTCTCTCATCACTTATGTTTCTCTCTCTCTCTCTCTCTCTCCCTCTCTCCCTTCCTCTCTGTGTGAAATCAATAAAAATATACTTAAAAAAAAAAAAAAAAGTGTGTCAAGCCCTAGCTGGTTTGGCTCAGTGGATAGAGCATCAACCTGAGAACTGAAAGGTCCCAGGTTCAATTCCAATCAAAGGCACATGCCCAGGTTGCGGGCTCAACCCCCAGTAGGGGGCGTGTAGGAGACAGCTGATCAATGATTCTCTCTTATCGATGTTTCTCTCTCTCTCTCTCTCTCTCTCTCGCTCTCTCTCTCTCTCTCCCTTCCTCTCTGAAATCAATCCTATATAATAAAAGGGTAATATGCAAATTGACCGAATGGTGAATTCACTGGTTGCTATGATGCGCACTGACCCCCAGGGGGTAGATGCCACTCAGCCAGAAGCTGGCTCAAGGCTGGCGAGCGCAGTGGCAGTGGAAGGAGCCTCTCCCGCCTTGTCAGCAGCACTAAGGATGTCCACTGCCGGCTTAGGCCTGCTCCCTGTGAGCGGGCCTAAGCCGTCAGTCAGACATCCCCCAATGGCTCCTGGGCTGCAAAAGGGCGCAGGCCAGGCTGAGGGAACCCCGCCCCCCCCTCAAGTGCACACACACACATACACACACACATACTAGTGGCCTGCTGCACGAAATTCATGCACATTAAAAGGGAACTAATTGGAGGAAAGAAAATTAGTAAAATGTATATAAAAATCTTCCTCCTGTCAGAGTCTGGGATACACCACGGGACCCAGAGTCAAGTCCCCTCCCACCCGCATGCACCTCGAAATCACGCGAGACCCAGACCAGCCGGCCCAAACCCCATTGGGCGAGATCCAGACCCGGCGGGCCCCACCCCCGTCAAGCCCCACTGTGCGGGGGGCACAGCCTCAGGTCTGGGTCTCCTGCATTTTCGAAGCGCGTGCGGGGGGGTAGGCGGCGACTTGACTCTAGGTCCCGCGGCGTGCCCCAGACTCTGACAGGAGGGAGATTTTTCATACACATTTTACTAATTTTCTTTCATCTCTGACACTTCTATTATAGAGAAAGGGCAAATAGCAATATTAAAAGATTTCCTCTAATTAATTCTCTTTTAATGTGCACAAATTTTGTGCACCGGGCCACTAGTATGTGTGTGTATATATGTATATACATATACGTGTGTGTATATATATATGTGTGTGTGTGTGCCTAAGTGACAGTTACGACCACTCAACCGGTTGCTATGACAACACACTGACCACCAGGGGGCAGACGTTCAACACAGGAGCTGCCCCATGGTGGTCAGTGCACTCCCACAGCCAACCTCCTGCAGTCGGTCAACCTCCTATGCTCCCTCCACCCAGCAATTGGGGCGGGCTGGTCAACCTCCCACAGTCCCTCTCTCTGGCCATCTAGACCCAATCAGACCCAATCAGCCCAGATCGCCGGCCAGGCCAAGGGACCCCATCCGTGCACAAGGCCTCTAGTAAAAATATATTTTCTTAAAAAAAGTGTGTGTCAAAACAGTACGTTCAGTTAACTTGGCTAAATTCTCTTCCTTAGTATCCTATTAATTAAGAACCTTTTGCGCCCTAACCGGTTTGGCTCAGTGGATAGAGCGTCAGCCTGCAGACTCAAGAACCTTTTGCCCTAACTGGTTTGGCTCAGTGGATAGAGCGTCGGTCTGCAGACTGAGGGGTTCCGGGTTCGATTCCGGTCAAGGGCATGTACCTTGGTTGCGGGCACATCCCCAGTGGGAGGTGTGCAGGAGGCAACTGATCGATGTTTCTCTCTCATCGATGTTTCCAACTCTCTATCCCTCTCCCTTCCTCTCTGTAAAAAAATCAATAAAACATATTTTTTTAAAAAGAACCTTTTTCCACAGATTTATTCAAAGATGATAGTTCCACAGAACCTGATTTAAAATGATTACAGAGAAGATAAAATGAATAAGGTTTATATGCTGATTTCCTGCTTGTGATACCAAGGTCAAGATTCACTTCCTCTCTGGGAAAACTGACCCTTGTTTCATTTTTACTGAATAATATAACAGAGAACCATAAGTTCTGAATAGCTGCAATGGCTTCAGTAATTTTACAGAAATCTGAGAGAAATGCAT